AAAATTAATTATAGTTTGTTTTAAGTTTAATTATCAATAATTCCATATAAATAGATATTGAATTGTATTTTTATGATATGAAAATCCAATTATATTGCTGTACATTAGTCACACAAATTGATTTTAAAACAAAATTTCCATTTTATTCATTAAAAAGCATTTGGTTTCACATATAATCCCATTACAGTTGACAATCCGTTGAACTAATGGTGGAATGGGAGGAGAATTAGACGACTATTAATCAAAATAATTAACATCAAGAGTAGTGTACTAATTGTCATCAATGTACTAAATAAGTTATTTTGTTTAAAATCATAACTATTATAAAAACCATTTTAAAACTATAATACTCTGTAGCTATGTCTAATGAAATCATTATAATTAATGTTTTAAATATTAAGTTATTATGTAACAAAAAAATATGATGTGTATCATAATTATACAAATATTCAAATTCACAAATATTTGCGATTCAAATTTACACAAAATTTGTATAAAATATTATTGTTTTGAATTTGAATATCACCTTCAAAAACACTAATGAAGTTATTTAACTCTTTCTCATGTAAATAATTTTCATAAATTATTTGTACCGTAACTAATGAAAGTGATAATTAATAAACCGAGTTGTTTAATTTACTTGTATATTACTAAATTATTTAACATGTAGTATTATTAACAAATATTAATTTTAAATACACAAAAGGAGCTTGATTAAAATTTTCATTAAATTTTATTTGAGTTAAAGAATAAATTAATCTTGATATTTATTTGAGTTAATTAAAAATTGTATATACAAAATTTAAATTCAAATTTTTATTTATCTTAAATAATTTAAATTACAGTATAATAGTTGTGATGATGAAAATAAATAATATTTAAATAAATATTAAACCTGTATGCATTAAATAGTTTGAATTTATCACAGTATCAGCTCATTCGCTACAAACTATGGTTTATAATAGATATAAATTAAATAAATGTTTGAAAATCATTAAAAAAAATAATTTTCGGCATATGTTTGCGTATATAATATTTATCATCTCTTAGATGTCTCAGTCGTTTTACTGAAATTAAGTAAATTTAAATATTTCTAGATTATTTCATAAATTGTAAGTTGTTTATCAGACAAACACCAATTAAAACCTTAAAATTACTATAAAAATAGTAACATTCACTCCTTAACCAAATTTCGTGTTTAAATAAATGAGTAGTTAGTCATTGATTCTCATCAGTACTTCTAATTATACAGAAAAAATACAATCAAAATGTTTGGATAGTAATCAGACATATGATGGCATTATTATTAAAATAAGTGTTAAATGAGTATTAGATCAGAGGATAGGAACAGTCTTCGGACAGTCCTTGAGTCTGGTGGCCATAATGAGGACAGCGGTCAGCCAAAAGCCCTGAAAGATGAGAGTGACACCGCTGAGAGTGGCCAGGGTGGTCGGCTCGAAACAGTAGAAGCCGTACTCGTCGAGGGATACCCTAAATTTGGGCGATTCAGACGAGAATAGGCTTTTGCTTTTCCTGAAGGGAGCGTTCATGGGTTTGGAGGGTATCTCCAATTTGGTCACTTCGGGACTCGACTTAATGGACACCAGTTTCGAGAGCATCGTTAGCGTCAATATGTCTCCCTTTTCGGCCAATTCTATGTCTTCGACGGGCGATCGTCTTCGTCGGCGACCATAAGATGTGACCGTTTCGTACTCGTCATCACTTCTGCCGGTTACGATTTTGCACTGAACCTAACCATACGATGGGACACACAAATCATTTCATAATTAGTAAGTTTGTAATTTATTCAACAAGTTTTTAATAAAAAACAAAATCTCTGTGCGAGTGATATAATGATGACTACTGACGGGTCGGCATTTGTCGAGACAGGTCTCCACTTCTGCCTCGATCTCCAACATCTGACTCCCAGTGAACGTAAAGGCCTCCAAATAGCTCTCCAGAGACTTCTCGTCTTTGGTGATCGTCCGGACCTCTCTCATCATTTTCGCCTCAACCGGACATCTGATCATAGAATTGCATTCAAAATTAATGACCACTTATTTTATTTGTTTATTATTGCAGATCGAGTTTAATTAATCGATAAATGCAATTCAAATTGACTTTTTAATTAAAACATAGACACAGCGTTTAATTAGGGAAACAAACCCCGAGTTATCGATGAGAGTGAGGTTATTAGTGCCTCCCAGTCCGTCCTTTGCGATCAGATTTCGCACAAATATACCAAAAGTGGCTGCAAATGAATGTCAAATCACAGTTTAAAGGCATTTGTTTTAAATGTTTGCCAATCTATTAGTGATAATCGATGTATTGATACCCTCGTCACTCATCCGCACTTGAACTCGAAGTGTGTCCCCTAAGGACACCTCGTTTATGTCGTCCCCTTTAATGTCAACGATATGTAGCGATAGGTCTGGCAGTTTGGCTGTTCCTCGCAGTCGGTCTGTCATTATATCACTGCAAATGAGATTTAAAATCTTAAATTTCTCATATAAAAAGTGCTAAATAATTGTAATTAAAGTCATAAAAAACGCCAAAAGCAGCTCAATATTGAATATATTGAATATACCAATAAAATCAAAATATTAGGTAATTATCAATAATAGTCTCATAAAGAGGTGATTGACTCGTGATTTGATGATTATTCTTAAGGACTTAGACATGAAAAGTATATAAATATAATGAAACTATAATTTAATTCAAATAAAGTTTACACTTATTTAGTAAAAGCCAATAAATTACCCGGGATTCAAATGACATAATAGTGATGGCCATTCATTAGCATATTCTTTGTGTTAAGATTTGAAACAGAAATAAGAAAACATTCACTCATTTGTAAAACACATCTAAATGTGAGTCAAATAGTGTGATAATATCATTGAAATTCTTGCGATTCGTTACTCGAAACAGATTTAACACAAAATTGCTTTCAGTTTAGATGTGAAAGCAATCTTGAACTCAACGAAACAATTAAATATATTCTCCGAAATGAAAGTCATTTCCTTTATTCATGAAAAATACTTATTATTATGAGTTTTCGCTTTGTGTGAGTGAGTGACTACTTATCCCCCGAAATTTGAGGCACAAACCGCTTATAAACGGCCATTAATTTTCATAATAAAAACAAAANAGCATTCGGTGACAGTTGTACAGTAGTTTTACTATGGTATTACGCAAAACAGACATGCATGCGGTAAAACTAAAATTATGACCAGGGTAGGCATTTGGTGAATATTTTATGAATTGCACATAAAATTTTAATAAATTTCCAACATTTTAGTATAGTTTTTGTTAGTAAAATATAATTGTAAATATTTTTAATTTAATTTACAAGTACTGATACGATGGGACACCCGATATTACGGTATTTTAAATACTTCTATTGATACGACAATTTTGGACACTGAAACAATATGTTAGCAAAATAAATCATACCAGTTTATAATTCCATCATGTCATAAGAGGCTAGCAAGTATTATACAATTTTTACCTGTTCACAATCAATAAGTTCTTTAATGGCACTAATTTGAACAAGCTCCAGAAAATAAATTCATAAATTTTTGTGTTTACTTAATTAAGACAGGTTTGCCATCTATTGGACGCCAAACACAATTATTAGAATCAAATACAAACTTAAAAAGTTAAATACAGATGTATTAGCTAGTTCATATAACTTGTTAAAGTAATTTTTAGATATAGACATAAATCAAAATTAATTATAGTTTGTTTTAAGTTTAATTATCAATAATTCCATATAAATAGATATTGAATTGTATTTTTATGATATGAAAATCCAATTATATTGCTGTACATTAGTCACACAAATTGATTTTAA